AAGCATTTACCATGCCGTGTGGCCTCTTTGTTTACGCCACCTTCTTGTTACACAAACTTGTTAATCATTATATAACAATAGCTGGGATAAGCACTAAGTCACAATATATCATATCTAAGTTGAAACTAATCATTATTATGGCCTTATCCCAGCTATAATTTACATGATTGTATGTAATATTGTATATTTATGTGTTTTTGTTCACTTTCGTCATTTATCTGGTCAATAAATGACATTTTCACTCAACTCAAGTTCTCGTGTCTTCACTAGTTTTCAAGTAACAAGAACAAGCTACGGAAAGGCTTTTCATATTGTGAAAGTTACTTTTATTAGTGGAAAAGTTGTGGATATAAATTAAGTTTTATCTGAAATGAGTTTAAAATGCATTTTCTTTAGGAAGTTTAAAATATAGTATTAAAATTTAAAAAAAACGACAACTAGTGTATAATTTACGTGTAATGTTACGAAAATATAGCGTGTAAGGTAAAAGCATAGGAACTACACTCCATGTATTCGTGTTTGCACAAGTACATGTTTTCGATTAATTAAAAAAGGTCTAAAATTCGATACATTTATCAACTGTTTTTGAGTTGGATAAATCGTCATTCGGAACGTCATATTTATGCCCCAACATGGCCGGTGGATATAGCGTTTGTCGTGTCCATCTTTGGTCATTCCGTTCTTATGTCCTTTTTTCTGTCCTTTCATCGAGAATTGGGTTTAGCTAATTTAAAGCAAGGCTTCAAAGAAACCATTCAACTGAAGACGTTATATATTAAACTTGGTCTTCTGATACATATTGAGAATAACAGTTGCATATAAGTCTTTTAACTATGACCTTTCCTTTGACATTGACTGCAATTTTTCATATAAGTATTTTTCTCAGTTTTACGAAAAGCATTCAGGATATTGTTATAAAATTTCATTCGCTTATACTTATACATACTGGTGTTAGCATTTCAACTTTTTTAATATTGCCTATCTCTTCTTTATTTTACACTTATTTTAATGTAATGTTTAGCTCAGTTTTAAATAAACCATTCATAAAGAAATAAACGACAATAATTATTTAAAATATCACTGGGAAATGCACTTAGTTGGTCACGTGATCAAATCCTGTAAAGTCCATAGGTTTCTCAGTAGATTTGATTAAGTATCAACTAAGTTAATTTTTTTCCAAGTTGACTTTTTAACATTTTTGTTTGTGACTTATTTTTACATTTGAGATGCATTAATTTTGAGTAACAATGTAAACTGCATTTATTACACGAAAGGGTCACCGTATTGTTATGTTGTGACGCACAGCGACCTAGAAGTCGTTTGGTCATGAAAATTTGTCTAGCTCCAACATTTGAATATTTTCAATGTTCAGTTGTTAACATGAGAAAATCTTTGCTTATAATGTAAAAACAATGATCCATACTGAGAACTAATCTTACTATATTATCGGTCCTTAATATATTTCAAGTCAAAAGCGGTGAATTCTCCTGTTTTAGTTTACATAACGACTGACCTAATAGGAATTTCTGGTTAAAAGGGTAAATGCGATTTTAGATTAATTATAGTATTTCAAACATTCTTCACAACCAAGGTAAGTCTATTGAACATTTATTGAAAGAAATATATATCTTTATTTCAGTTATGTTATCTTTTTCATCACATTTAACTTAGTATATAATGTTAACAAGATAATATCTGGCCGTGCTATTCAGTCGCGCAATGACCTTTGAACCCCAGGTAAAGTTCATATAGAATGAAACATATTTTCTCTTCAGTAGTTTCACCTAAGAAAAATATTGGCAAATGTAAATATTATACTGTAATCAAACTTCATGTAGTGAAACAAATATACTAAACAAAACAATTTAAGGGCCACTTACTTTTTTGAAAGTTTTAAAATCTATAACTAGTTTTTGTTGCACTTTTTTGTTTTATCTGGGTTTCCATACATTTTTATGGATTGTTATTCAAACACATTTTTGATTTTTGCTCCCTTCCTGAGATTTTTGCTAATTGAATGTTTTACTTTATCCACATTTCTGTGATATTGGCTGTATTGTATACTCATTGACAACCTCAAAAAGGAACAAGATTCGATTATTTGTACAATATTTGTTGCTTTTTGCCATTTAACACGTTTTCATGCCTCAAAGAAGACATTTGACGGTAGAGGAAGCCTCAAGGGCCATTGGAATGCTTCAAGCTGGATGTTCACAGCGTCGTATTGGAGTGCAACTTGGTGTAAGTCATTCTGTTATAGGACGTTTGTTGGAACGATACGAAGAGACCAATAGCGTCAAACGGAGACCTCGCAGCACAGTTAAGGTTACAAAAAGGAGGCGGAGCCTAATTTGTACGGGAAAACTTGACTGTGACATCATACACAATATACGTCATACAACATTTCTTTAAAATACCACAAAATGAGTTTATCTGGTAATTTTACCAGTAAGAAATCATCAAACCGCTTAAAAACTTACTACAGCGTGTTGTTTTGTCCCTAGTTATATCCCACATAATAAGTTATAAACAAGTCACTGATCGCAATACACTTGTCAATATGACGTCATTTCTTACAACGTGACGTAGTTTGTATGCAGTGAGAGACAGATCAAGTAATATTTTCTCAACAAAATATGTATTCTCTAATTAAATAAAATATAATTTTCAGATATTCTATGGGACAATAACTTGAATTTGATGTCTTCTTCGCTATTTTATTAATATATTTTCTGTACATTGCGTATTTAATTGACACTGCCGTATATTTGTATGCAAGTACATCGGAGGGTAATGTGGGGGGTCTTAAAAAATCGATCTAGTGCAAGGGCATACACTCTATGGATCAAAGTAAGCTTTTACATTTCAACTATAGAACTAATAAGGTATCTGAAAAGTGCTGCGATCCTGATGAAATCTTAAAAACAATTTAATTATATCAATATTTCATGCCGCTGTCCAGCAAAAAATACAGCATTCAGTCATACAAATTTAATTTTAACATTGACATTGCAGAATTTAGACAGGATCGCAGCATTTTTTAAAAACTACAATGCTTGTTGAAAATATTTATATACTAAACTTAGAAATTTAACTTGGTTATGCCCTTGCACTAGTGACATTTATATGTAACATGAATATATCAAGTCAATGTGCTCAAATCGCATGACTGCCGCATCACGTGACTAGTCTAAATATAAAATATAATCGTCCTCGATATGTAGTTATTAATCATAATTACAATTATCCGATATAAATAATGTACTAAAAATAATCGCCATCTCGATTACGAATACGTTTCTAAGTACAAAATTTAGCCGATATTTCCATTGCGCACCTTAACTGTACTGCGCTAAAAGTGGTCATTTAAAAAGTACAACTGTTAGACAAGATAGACAAATATCCCTACTTGCGAAGAGAAATCGAATGTCTTCAGCTGTTGCTTTGAACAGAGAGCTATCTGCAGCAAAATGTATTCGGGTTTCAACACAAACCTTGAGAAACAGACTGCAAGATGCGGGATTACGTGCAAGAAGACCTGCTGTGCGCCCACCTTTAACCGTGGAACATCGAAACCGTCGCCTCCAGTTTGCTCAAGTCCATAACAACTGGGACCATCATCGTATCCAAGGAGTGCTATGGACGGATGGATCCAGATTTTTTCTTGATTTTAATGATGGTCGCAGACGAGTATGAAGGTTTAAGGACTGCTGCATCACTGAACATGACCGGTTTGGCTGTGGATCAGTCATGGTTTGGGCAGGTATCAGTTACGATGGCTCCACAGACCTTTATGTCATAAGGAATGGGTCGCTAACAGGTGTTCGTTACAGGGATGAGATCCTTGCATAAATTGTTAGGCCTTACACTGGTGCCATCGGTGAAAATTTCATATTGATGGATACAGGTTTCCAAATCGATGTAGGGAAGAAATTCGGGCTAGAGGCGGTCATACAAGATACTGAAAGTAATATTAGGACTTTCCAGGTTAATTAAAACCCTGAAAACACGACTATTGTGTCCTCATGATATCCTGTATTGATAAATATTCTTGTTGTTTTGACAGTTACATGTTGTTACATGTTGTTACATGTTGTTCATTTGTTTATTATAAGAGATTTATAATTGTTTACTTTTAAAATGTTATTTGTTTCCTCCACCTTTACAATATATGTTGCAAAAAAATAAAATTCTCAAGTTGGCCCTTAACTTATTTTGTTGAGTTATTCATGAGATATTCAACTCCATCAAAATTGTCGGACCTAGGTATTTCTTTTGACCTTGACCTCATTTAAAAAAATAGTGTTTAGAACGGTTATAAAGAAATTATTAAAGATATTCTTTTCAAACCACATTTCCTCACAAATATTAATGAGAAATATATCCAACAGCAATAACATTTTTGGACTTAAGCCATTCTTGTTACTCTGTCTTTACTCCCCCCCCCCCCCAAAAAAAAATGTTTAGCTCTGAAATTTATTATTCTTATCCAGCCTAAAATTCTTATACATATTAGGGAGAGGAAATCAGCTGCATTAGAATTTCAATTTCAATTTTAAAATAACTATTCAAGATATTCTCATCAACATCATGCACATGTACAATTGTTCATGATCCATTACTATATACACACTGCACCTGTTCTATGCATACTTTGTGATTTAACGATAATTCAATATTTTCTTAATCTTTGATTACTTATACTCAAAAATTAATCTGAATAATGTAACGTGGATCTGATTATTTTTCTTTTTACGCCATAATATTGTATTGAAAAAAGGTAATTGGTACCTTATGGAGTCCCTTTTTCATTAGACGAATCATTTAATTTTTTTTTTAATATTTCTTGTGAACCTGTTTCAATTTCATAGAATTTTTCATAAGATTTCTGAAAAATTTTCAGACATGATTTATAATACTGAATAACTCTGCAACCAAAATTTCTTGAACTTATATACATATATATACGTATACGGATATATAACTTACTCAAAAAATATTGTGCTTTTCTTTTTGTCGATACCATTACAATTTGAATCTGCTTGAAAGCACCCAAGGTTTTTGTTCATTTCTAAACAACTGGAATCTACAATAACGAGAACATTATTATAAGAATAAAGCAATGACAAAATATGTATTAATAAAGTTTTTTTCAGTGCAGTGTTCAAGCATGTAGCAAACTCCATTTTTTATTGCAATTTTTCATTTTAAAAAAGTTAATCGAAATAATATTATGATATGTTATGCGTATAATTTAATTAAAAGAAAACATGAATCGTTTAATGGCTGAAAATGTTAATTAGATGCTTTTATGAGACAGTTAACCTGCACTAAGGTGTTTGTCTTGCCTCTAAATACCCCCCCCCCCAAGATATTGGGCTTTCCAAGGACAAATTCAAAATAATTCTATAATTTACACAGTACTCGTATTCGTCAAATTGAGGATGAAATTCTCAGACCCTGTGACCATGTGACCTATGACTTAGAGCCTCTTATAAAAGACAGGATATAATTAATGATGTAAAAAAGATTCTGATAAATGTTTTGCTCATAAGTGGAACATTTTAAATTTACTTATCCCCCCCCCCCCCACCGGAGACACCCACACACACACACCAACATTTTTTATATGGCTAGATGGAAAAGTTATGTCAAAACATTGTTTGTTATGAATTACATGTGTAATTTAAAATTTGTTCTTGAACTATACATGTTTACATGTAAACACCTTTTGGAAAATTTCTACATCACATTGGTTTGCGTCACCCATGATCATATTTTTAGATTAAGCACCACTCGGCACATCTCAGCCGATTCGTACTTCATATGATTTAGGCCACGGAATTTCTCAAGTATTGCCGAATGGGATATCACATGGTGTGTGGCGTTTATTGAAATAATTCATTTTGTGTTAAAATTGGATTATATTTCATGACGTTGACAGGACCTATGCCAGTCGGTAAGTACAAGTTTAAGTGTAGATTGGAGTAAAATAAACCAAAATGCAAATGATTAGGTTTAAGTTCAAAATGAGTCAAAGATCATCGCATGCCACACTAGACGAATTTCACATTGTGAAATTATGTCCTAATGTCGATGTGACATTCAATTAATGGTGAAAATCCAGAATGTTTTTTAGGGAGGGGGGTTCACACCTCAGTAAAAAAAAAAGTCCAGCCCAGAAATTCCTGACAAGCAAAGAAAAAAAAAATCTGCAAACAAATAAACAAAATAAAAACAATCGTGGGGTCAATGTTTTCTAAGGGGGGATGCCCAAAGTCATTTTTATTTGTTTCAATGTATAGTCTTATTTAAATAACAAAGAAAATTCCAGGGGGGTTCAATCTCCCTAGCCACTCCCTGTCCCTGAAATTACAATTGATCTTGTGACTCCTATATAATAGAAGTTTTTCCCATTTGGCTATATACATATTTTGTTTCTTGTGTTTTTATTATGTTTGTTTGTCTGTTTGTCCGCATAAACTTTAACCTTGCCCATAAAATTAAAGTGGAATGGGCTATACACATGGCTTTCACGTTTCATAGGTTAATTCCTTGTCACAAGACCTTTATTATGGGTACCACCAATTTTTACCTCTTGATCTCTTGACCTAAACCTTGGTATTTTACCCATTTTTACAAGAAAAATACCAAACTTTGATCCTGGCCTAAATTTTGATCAGTCGGTGCTAGGGAGTTCATGCTTAACATGTGTATTCATAGGGTCAGTAAGTCTCGTTAACTTTCACTTTCGTTTTCTAACTTCCGGGTACCTGAGCGTTCTTGGAGACAATGGATTACCGCTTGGCATTTAGTTTTAAGCCTCGCGGTGGACTAGCAGAGCCTGTCATGTCGTTTGTTTCCCGATTATTTAAAAGAAGAGGATATAATGGATTGATTGATACAGGTAAACAGCGTTTAACTGCTTTATTGTTTTATAAATGACGTACATACAAGCCATTCCGAATGGGTCACGATTAGCAGTGTGGTTGGCGAACATTTTAAAGCATAAAGGAAAATGTAAATAGTTTTAAAGCTGAAATAATGTGTTTCCAAACTAAAAGGTTCCCTAAAGATTGGTTCCTTAAATGTATTTCATTTATTTAGCACACGGGACAGGTACATAGAATGGGGGGGGGGGGGGCTTAACCAACAAAATAAAGGTACACACCAATTTTCAATGCCTATATTATGTATATATTTGTAATAAAAAGGGGGACTAAAGCCTATGTATTATACTTGAATTACATTAGAAATACAATAGATTAACTTGTTATGTACTCTATCCAGAAATAAAAATGTCAAATATTACTTCTTTCATGTACACAGGGATGTATACACTATATATTCAATTTCAATATAACATGTATAGCCTTATGACTCCTTTCCCGAATACTCTTACAATTATGAAACAGACTTTTTTTCTTTCTTAAAATAGGAATTAGAAATAGGAATTTTTCTAATGAAGGCATTTGTCGGATAGATCAATCTAACGTTGTCTCCAAAGAGGCAATAACTGGGTCCATAGGACATTCATCCTTCAACGATAGAATATTTTATCTACATTTGTGATCATATTTTACAGGGATCCAGCAGATATGGAAAAAGGGACAACACTTCGACTGAATGTGTCATCCATATACCGGTATAGATCTGTTCTGTTCATGAGGCATACATACTGTAAATGTATTACATTTTGCGTGTACAATTTGGTGGAAATTCAATTTTCAACAAGTTAGCATACTATTATATTTGATTTAGCGCAATGTGAATGTGCTAGTTATTAAATTCATATACAAGACATTTAGTGATGTACTTGGATAGGCGGACTATGTTTTCCGCTAAATAAAATATATGGCTAAATGTGATATGTTTACATTATGTATAGTATATCTCATAATCCTTATACTCATGAAGAGTGTGACAACTTCCAAGTAGTTAATGATGGAATTTATTTTCTTTTGACATTGTATTGGGTAAATTTTGGACTGCACCTTTTTTTCTTCATTATCAAACCTACTAGTTCATTTATTTATCAAATTCACGAAAGCTCACATACAATGGTAAATAAATTAAGATGAATGAACCATAATACTAGTTAAATTTAGCACATACTTTATTAAATATCAAATCTGATTGGTAAAAACATTTGCTAACAATTACTTTTCTCCTTCGGTGTGCCTAACATTACATCCCCATGATTCAAAATGCACGTTGATAGGTACATGTAACTTCTCCACAAAAATAGCTAACTGTGCAGAGTGTTTGCACACTTGTTTCAACGAATAACATTTTCTTAAAAATACTTCAGCATAGCAAGACAAATATTGCATGTTTATTTTGATACACTATACATGAACTTGAGAAAAAAATTAAGGAAGTTGACATTGTATATTTGCTAGTTACTTGTGTAATTAGCTATATATATATAATTAGGATGTACACAGGCATAACATATCACTATTAATATTTGAGAAAGTATTCATTTTTTGTGTAGATGCTCACTTCCACTTTAATACATTCGCCAGGTTCTTGTGAAAAGTGTTTTATTTGGCACCATTCAGCTACAAAAACCCAATGTACTCTTTGCCGGTGGAATTGTGACCTCAATCAACTGCTCATGACACTGCTAAATGACAGAGAATTTTCTTCTGAGACAAGCAAATTGTTTCAAACATTTTACACCTGCAGGTTAGTACTTATAAAATTTTGTTTGAATGAAAATAAAGGCTAACAAGACCTGAAAATACAAGCCAGATGTACTACAAAAGTGTTGATACAAGTCATTTAAAATTTTCATTTCTTTGCAGGTAGTGATGAGTGCAACAGAAGTTTTTATTAGGATCTCGTCCGACATCATAGGTACAACTGGTCACTGTGATTTCTTAAATAAGAGGACATATTGTAAAGGCGGTTACATATGTACACGTGGCTCCAAATGATGCTTGACTGTTTTCCTTCGCTTTATACGTAAACCTGGATTGGTCTCTAATGCCGTAATATAGAGCCATGTCATGTTTTAAATCCCATCTTCCAACTGTCACAAAGTGCTGAAATAAAATGATTTTGATTTAAATATATATTTTTTGTTTTTATAAAATGTAACAAAACATTTTACAGAAATTAAAATACTGTACAAGTGGAAATTTTAGCGAGATCATGATGCAAATTTAGTGATTTGTCCTTAAAATTTGGTATTTTCTATTTAGCGAGAAGTAATTATTGCGATTTTTAAAAGCTTACTAACTTAATAATATTTGTATATAATTTTCATTAACATAATTATTACAACTTAAACACATTTAATTTTCAGTGATATTCAATTTTAGCAATCTCAGAAACCTAGCTGATAATGCCTCGCTAAAAATTATGCTTAATATACGGTATTAAAACTACCAATTAAATAAGTATCTTAAATGAAAATCTTTTGAAGGTTTTGCTTGTCAGTTCTTTGCTGATGGGGTAACTTACCTTTAATAATGTCATGACAAGTGAGGCACATGGCTGGTCTTCACGCTGGGTGAGTTCTTGATCAAATCAGTGATGTCCTACGATTTCCAAATAAGCTGACAAAAACCTGTAATTTAGCAAACTTCTGTAAAATGTCATTCAAATTATTGCACAGTTGTTCTAATATGCATTACTGATAATTTAGGTGTAATGAGTTAAAAATCTGGTAAATATCCATTTACTGGATATTTAATACAAATCTTAACCTTCTTCATTAAATTTTATCAATATTTTTACAAGAAAAACAGACTAAAAATTGTCCTTTATATACCAAAAAATATTTAAGGCCTTTTCATAAAAAAAAAAATGATTTAAAAATATTTGTTTTACACACTGTATTTTCATATTTAGAGTGCCCCTACTAAGGCCACCAATAACAAAATGATTTGGTTGATGTACTCAGACTGACCCATTAAAATCTGCCCTACCATTAGTAATCATTTTTTCAGCACTTCAATTTTTTGAAAACTTCAACAGATTTCTGAGTCTGTGATTTTTAATAGGACAGTTATCAATGTTTTTCAATACTGTAAGGCAAAAAAAAAAAAAAAAAAAAAAAAAAAAAAACCTACCAACTAATCTGGATATTCTGGATACAAACACATATTTAATGATGGCCAATGTTGACAAGGTTTTTAGTCATTTTATTAAAAAAAAATTCAATACATGTATATATAATATTATTATTCATTTAAACTGTATACAAGGGTTTCATCCCATTTTTATACTGAGGTGATTACGTTGCACACTGTGGGACATGGAGACGTGGATACTTCATATGAGACCGTTTAAACTATGTCACAGGTACTGGCATGAAAAATATCCCTCACTGCTTAAATTGACAATGGCCCGAGTATAGGACAAAATTTACATCTCTCCACCATCAAGTGGGTGCGTCTCCATATGAGTAAAAGATTCTTGAGAGGAAAGTTATAAAACAACAATCAATCAATTAATAGTGAGGTGAGATGACAGTATAGATGAATCATGGGTAAATGTCTAAAAGAATACCCTAGGGTGGGCAAGGGTAATGCATTACTGGACATCCATAACCTTTTTGTAATATTTTGATATACTATGTCTTATGAAAATAAATTCTATATATATGTCCTAGAACTTATTCTGTTGCATCAATTTCATACCTGTATTTGATTTGCATTTTTAAGGAGGCTGATCATTCAAAGTCAGTTTAGTCTTATGTGCTTGACTGGATCTTTCAGCAACAGCATCTTTCATCTGTGTTACTGCCTGGTTCTCTTGTACTTCTGCTATAAAATAAGTTTTAATGTATATAATTCTATGAGATCGATGAATAAATTGAATATAAAGAAAGTATAAACACCATACAGTCTGAAGTGAGAAATACATGTATGGTCATTGTATTGAAGTGATTTGAATTTTGTTCAATATTGAATGCAGCGAAATACTTCAAATAGCAAAATATAATTATATGAACATCTTATCTTTGGGAAATAGATCTAAAATAGGCGACCCAGTGACACACAACAGGTAAAACTTTATTTTAAAAAAGTATATTTACCGATGCAAATGTGATGCAACCACAAAATGTGACGTTTGTACCCATCTGACACTGACAAAACTTCTCCTCTATAATCAGCTGATAATAACATTATCGTCCTCGAATTCGAGAAAAATCTGTTAACACATTAAGGCGAAAGATGATTATGAATCTATTTCATTCGGGTATAAAGTAAAACACTTCATTTTCTCTCAAAATAAACAACAGAACAAGAAACAGTTGACATTCTCTGATTGTTTACCTGTACTTCGATCGCATTTTTTCTGGTGGACACTCGCACCCAAGCTTTTAAGACACGCAATTCATCCATCGTAAGTCGGAGAACCCTTCTGCTTTGTAAAACTACTTAACTTTTCCTCGAAAGCTTTGTATACACCAGAAACATGCTTAACTCAATACACAGCTCCTTGTGTCAGCTACCCGGAAGTGAAAATTATCGTAGAATCTCGCGAGTCACGTGACGAGACATACAGACCCCATTGTGAACTTTCAACAGGTTTAAATATGTTTGACCTTGACCCTAGAGTTGACCCACTTTAAAAAACTTTAACCTTGGCAATTAAGTTGAACTTTTGAACAGGAAGTACTAGGGCTTTCTTATTTCATATGTGTATTCCTTGTGACAAAACTTTCTTTTATTACCAACAATTTTAACCCTTTGACCTTGACCTTTCAGTTTGACATACATTTGAGAAACTTCAACTTTAGCCTTAAGCTGCCATGCGGGGGCATCAGTGTTTCACAAACACATCCTGTCTTCATTATTTTTAAGTGGTTGCGTTTCCATATGAGGAAAAAATTCCCGAGAGAGATGTTTTCACAACAAACGAACAAATTACTAAAAAACATAAAACATATATCTCTTGTTCTCACTTGAATCAGAAATGAAGATAGATATATTTTAAAAATAATTATTATAAGAGTTCAAAAGGCTGTGCATCTTACAATTGCTAAGTTTTATGGATGTAATTGCTATAAAAGTTTACTAGTTCTATTTTGCTACTCAAAACACTGTGATTAACTATTTTCATATATTGTTTTCTGAAATGTTCAGCTTTTTAAACAATGGATACATGTCATATCTTTTCAGCTTCTCAAAAAAGTGCATGAAGATAAAGCTTTTCAAATACTGTGTAACCATGGTAGCTCTTTCAAAATACTTGTGATTCAAACCTTTTAGCTCAATTGAACTTTTCTGGTTTTCTTATCACATAACAACTGTCTTTTGTTTGTTAAACTGGAAACCTTTTACATTTTTAACTTCTTCTGTAGGATCACAGGGCCAATTTTAACCAATTCACATAAAAATATGTACATTTGTATGTAAGCCTGTATATCTTTCACAAAAAAATTATCCTGGGGATCACGGTCATATCTATTGAATGAGAAGCGACAAGGCATTCATATTAAACATATGTATTAGTATTTACCTGTGACAATGGCAGAATTTTTTTTTTACCCGTGACCTTGAAAATTGACCTACTTGCAAAAAAACACATTGTTTTAAATTCATCATTTTGAAAGAAAAAAAATTAGGGCATTCATATTATACATGCACGAATATTGTTTCTTGTGATAAGATCTTCCCAAATAAATCACGACTTATAACTCAGTGACCTTGACCTTGAAGCTTAACCTTCTTTTCAAAAATGTTGCATTTGCTTTTGATTGAGAAGAGATATGACTTTTACATTTGACATGGACATTACTCTTAAGAATTCAAGATGTTTTCCAGCATGCTATGATTTTTTTTACACCTTGAAGTTGATGTTTGATCTAATTCATTTTCAAAATATTTAACTCTCTCAAAGATGTTTAGGCTACTGTGTAAAATGTAGGAATATTTCAGGGAAGACAAGGCTTTCTGCATAAAAACGCCATTTTCGACACCCATTTGACCCCCACAAGCAAAATTAATATTCCGTAACCTTCGCAGCCAGGTTAAGGCCGCCCATAGGAAATATGCCTTAAAATATTCCGAAAAAATCAATATAATGTTGATATATTTCTATTAGCATGAGTCTTAATTTAATGGGAATTAAACTAATGCATATGTATGTATGGGGTCTGAACCGAGTTCGGCCAGAGCGACTCCACGTACATCAGCTGTTTGTCATGCGACATGTTTAAAATTAGAAAAAAATATGTACGGATACAAAGATCGTAAAAGTTCAACGATATACGGATAATTTTTCACTATGAAATTGATTGTGTTTTCTTTGAGACAAATTTCTTAATCCGAAAAGTGCTGGGAGCAACTTCTCCATGCCCGGGAATTATTTAAAATTTAGCCGATTTTTGATAAACAATGTGCATTTACACTATACGCATTGAAGAAATGTAAAATTACGGAAAAAATCAACAGCGCACAACTTGCTCTCAGCACTTTTCAAAATAGTAGGGGCAGTAGCTACATGTGTATAAAATATTATAATTTATAAACAAGCGGATATCGTTGAACTTTTGAGATTTTGGAGGGGTTGTACCTGTGATTGTTGTGCGTTTCTGTATAAAAGAGCTTGACTGCGGCTTTAGAAGATACCTTAAAATTATCAATTAAATAAGACTGTGTACTATTGATTAATGCATTCAAAAAAGTCAGATCACACTTATTTAGTTTTAATTTTCATTTTTTCAGTTCCACTTATAGCGTGATCAGCGTCTCAAGTACAGAGAAATTGTGTATCAAACTAGCCTATGACGTCATATCTGTTAGCACAGCGAGATCAAGTTGGCTTTGATTTTACATTCAGATAGTGGTATAATAACAAGATAAGTTATACATTGAATTATATTTACAATAATTATGAGAAATCAAAGAATGTAAGAGTATATGAAAAAGAAAATTATTATTTATTCGCCGAGATTCATTTGTACAATTTAACCGTGACGTCATAATCGAATTCCCGAGGCTCTGTATACACTGATCTACCTTTGGGTAGCCCTTAACCTAGTTGCGTTACTGCACATCTACATGACGCCACCAACCAACTCCATTTAGATGATTAGGATACTATGTAAAATGTAGGAGGAGTTCAGGGAAGACTTTTTTTAAAAATAAAAACCGTCATTTCTCGACCCTAATTTGCTCCCCCCCCCCCGGGGGACAAAATCAATATTCCGAAACCTTACACTGCACGTCTACATGACACCACAAACCATCTCCTAAAAGGTGATTAGGCTACCATGTTAAATGTAGGAGGATATCATGGAAGACGGGGCTTTTTTAATTTAAAAAATGTCATTTTCCGACCCCAATTTAACCCCCCGGGGCAAAATCAAATTTCTGAAACCTTATTGCAAATCTACATGATACATGTACCACCAACCATCTCTCAAAAGTACTCCAACATGCTAGAGGTTGACCCCGAGATACCTTTGACTTGGCGCCGATTAACCTATAGCATCCATTATAAAATTTCTCGCCGCTGAAACCACAAGTGGAAATAATTTATTTGAATAAAAATAAGGCTTTGTATATTTCGAATGGCACTAAACAATAAAATGTTAAGTCCCTTTTTACGATAAAACTTACGCATAAAACAATGTTTATCTCTCGTATTAGCAATTAATCCATTAAACCCCATTATTTTTAAAATCGGAGCAGAAATTGAAACAAGTCGTATGTTTAAAATTAGGGAATGAAATGCAGAAAATCAGACGAAACAAAACTATTTTCATGCAACAAAAATTTCTTTTTCTGATTAGCATTCCGCAAAATTAACGTGAAGTCAAATACTCCTGGTGACAAATTGAAATAATGACAATTTTCAGTAATTAACAATAATGCACACTGAATAAAATTGAGAATGGGTTTTATGATTTTTGGTAACTTTCCTACCTCATGCAAACACGTAGGTACCTGAAAATTACATGTTAACAGTTTATTTCACGCAAAATATGTTCCGACCCAAATCTCGGGCGGAACGAGCTCTTAAGAAAAAGGCCTTTTGATGTAAGAGTTTGAGGTATTTAAAGAGCATAGGGACGTTAACCGAGGCTCTTACTAGTAGGAGTACTCCTAACATATGATAAGGCTACTGTGTAAAATGTAGGAGGAGTTCAGGGAAGAAAAGTTTGACAGACGGACGGATGGACAGATATGAGATACATCAATATACCCGAACTTTCTTTAAAAAGTGTGGATATAATGAATATTAATGTCTGTCTACCCTCGTATTAACAAAGCCCTATTTATGATAAAGAATAAGTGCACTTAAGAACGTCATTTGGATCCTTTTCGGCTACCCATTTTAAGTTTAACATTACAATATATCGCTAAATTAATCTATGATCAATGTGCAAGCATATGTAATTGATATTTATTTCTAGAATTTTTTTTCATACATATTTCTATAATTACAGACAATGTTATTGAAAAGAACATGTAAAGGCCTTAGATTCCGGAAATTTGAACAAGACAACTTTCAATTGTCAAGTTGCAGCTCTATGTAAACAATGTCGTTGAACACTAGTAAGCATATGAATAACAATAGAAATGTGACAAAACTGTTAAACCCTCGTCAAAAAAGCTAGTGTCGCTCGGCATTATTTAATTATTTCATGTAATAAAATATACCGTAACCTGCTCTTTAGACATTGTTTAATTCCTATAAAACATAAATTTAATGAATTTTGTAATTTTATTTTGCGCAAAACATAAGAGATCCAACTCTTATAGCGTAAGTGCAGTCATTCCTTTCATAAGTCAGTATAACTGACTGAAATCAATAATAACATCCACAGAAAATATTCTCATTTTTAAAAAAAGACACTTGTCATGTCGCTACTTACAATTAAATATATCACTGCTAAGATAGTCTTGCTCAGGACATCCAACTCTAAACTTCGTACAGCTAACTTGTGTTAGATTTCCAGGAGGATACAAAAGTAGACAATTTCCTGTTAAAAAGTAAAGTATATTGTTTTGTATCAGACATAAGAAAGAGTCAAAACGTTTTTTTTTTTTCAGTATATCTAATATTTTCAATTAAAAAAAAAAACTTTCATAATAACAGTAAAAAGCCCAAAGTAGTAATATCAAGAAGTTAGAGATCTGTGTAAATTTAAAGTTAATGGGGTCTCAACTAATTTTTATATGTCTAATTTATTTTTTTTAATTTAAGTTCAATGTTATGGGCAATTTGAAAAGATACATTGAATTCTATTAACAAAGTAAATATAATTTAATAGATTTTACAAAAGAATTTGTTTATGATTACAAAATTAGACCGAACAAATGGTATAGTTTTTTTCACTTATTTTCAAATTCATATGATACAAGTAACGACGGGAACAATAACATGATGTCCATTCAATTTCTTGCAATTTTTATCTCATTCTGATTTGTGTTTTATCTTAATATCATATGCAATCGAATTTGTTCTAAATGTAATTAACTAATGCAATTTTGCGTTAAAGGAATAGAAAATGCATTTTAAACCCAGGAAAGTGAATAAACATGCAATGCAGTGGTGGCTATTATTCTTAAGTCAATGCCTGATTTTCATCTCAATTTCTTAAGGCAGTGTGTTTATCGTTGGCCAATGCAGGTTGCACAACTATCAAAAGGGCCAATACAGGCAATGTGAATCTCTCTTTCTTTCTCCTTTTCCCTCTCACTCTCCCTCTATCTATTGTCACTAGGGCATTGCAAGGCTCTCAAGGGCCAATGCAGGAATTGACTGACTCTCTCACACTCTCAAGAGAGTCCGTCAATGCCTACATTGGCTCTTTAGAGAGTCGGCCAATGCCTGCATTGACTGACTGCACAGTCGGCCAATGCCTGCATTGACTGACTGTGAAGTCGGCCACTGCCTGCATTGACTGACTAATGTGGAGTCGGCCAATGCCTGCATTGACTGACTGTTGTGCACTCGGCCAATGCCTGCATTGACTGACTGATGTAAGGTTGGCCAATGCCTGCATGGACAGACTTGATACGGATAGATAATATAATGCACAATACCTGACTGAGCCTTCATGCATACTGCATAGTAATGGAAATGTTGCATTGGAGTATTGGGAAATGTAAATTATCTACTTTCTGATATAGTTGTACAAATTCAGTAGCATTTCAACAATGCAGGTAAGGAGATGTAAAATGAAAAAATTAATTCTAGTGAAAACATCTCCATTTGGAATTTCAGTATTTTCCTTTTACCAATTTAACTTTATTTTTCTCAACTTTGAAAAGCAAAATTTTATCAATTCAAATGTGTGCTTCAGCATAGGTTTTTGTAAGGTAATGCGTGAATCATTTATAAACAAAACTTTAAAAAGTGATATCTGTATAAAAAAAATAGTTGAGACAAATCAAAATTTAGTTGAGACTCCATTAGTTATGATATGGTGGCGTTCGGGATAGAGCCTCGATATGTTATACCATATATTTAAAATGGCTCTGTACCTGAGAACCGACATATAACTTTAATAAATCCTGTAAGCAGATACTCAGTGCATCTTGGGGTTTCCTTAATTGGTAACAGAATCAACATGGATTCAAAAGGCATTAAACTTTACAAAACATTTTCATAAATTGTCATTCCTTTTTATTGCAAAATAAGTAATTAACACTAACACTAAGAAATCATAAAAAGTAAATAATAAAATCAATGTTCAAAAACTGTTGTTTATGATTCAAAAATCAAAATACGGTTAAAAGTTATAAAGTTGATTTAAAATAAATTATTTTAATGTAAAGTATGAAAAAATAGTTTTTCCTATCTACTACAATGTACTGTCATAAATTCGCAACAAAAAAATCATTTCAAAAATCAAATTGATATTTTCAAAGATTTACATGTTGAATTTCATCATAAGATTATTAATTAAAAATTAAAACAATCCAATGTAATGTTTCGAATCATTTACTTAAATATTTACTGTACATCTTTTTTCACCTCATTAACAGTTAAACTAGATTTATCTTTTTATGTTATGTTAAGGATGACGTTTACTCAGATAGTGAAAAAAAAATCCACTGATAAAAAACCACTTTTTTTAATACACCTATGATTATATTGTTATTATTAACTTTGAGATAATTATAACTAGGTCAATTACCTACACTTTACACTAGTGGTCCTTGAGTATTTTTCGAAATACTTCAGTTTTCCTCACTTTGATATTACAAGCAACATAAATAAATGAATTTCAAAGAGAATGGATTACTATTGCTGAATTGAAATAAATTATTAGATTTTGGTCCATGAAACTTTTTTTTTGTTCGGGTCAGAATTTCCCTCGTCAATTTTCTTATTTTTACCCTTTTCAATATAATATGACAAAAAGCTCAATTTAAAGATCCTTACACTATCTTTTCAATAGCCTAGCCTCAGTTTATTTTTGTTGCCCTTATTCTGCAGATATAAAATTTTATGCTGTCAAGAATCGAATAACTGTTTATTATTATTATTATTATTATTATTATTGAATAGTTTTACTTCATATTTTATCAATTGCATTTCATTTAATATGATATAGAATCTTTACTTTGCGAATGAATTAGCAAGAAAAATATAGTTTTAACAGTAATGAAAACCAAATTTTTGTCGGAAATTTTCTCTCCATCATTATGTACGAGGGTTGTTCGAAATGTTCGTGGACAACTGTCATATCTGTTTTATTTGACTTCATATGTTATCTAAATTTGATAGGAATATTTTAACAATAAATCCAAATGATATGCATTAATTTTGATATCAAAATATTACGATTGATTAAAAAATTATCCAAATTTTAAAAATGCAAAAAATCGGATCGCGGAGCAGGTCAAAATTTAGTCAGTTACAGACAATACAATAAATAATGTCAAAAGTCATATTCTCTGTAAAATGGAGGAAAAACGAAAAACTATCTAGAAATTCAAATTAAGAATTGTTACATCGATACGTGTACCAAATTATGGTTTTATATTTTGCTTTGTTGAAAGGAAATCAACTTGAGAACATAAGTTGTCCTTATTGAAAACGACAAAAACTATGACGTTTTAGAACGTCACGGAGCAGCAGATACCGAAGCAGTTTTTTTCTCTGGAAATATCCTGAATATTCTCTCAAAATGTTGAAGGAATCAAGAAAATATGTCACAAGCGAGTTGTGCATGTGTGTACAAATAGTACAGGCAATATTTGAGTGACAGAGACTCTGTATCGGATGAGGATGACCTGTGAAGAAACGGTTTTACTGTAAACTTCTGAACACAACTTAAAAATTTGAAACGTAAATGAAAGACAAAGGCACTTCATAGTTGCTTATCCTGTGAAAGCAGAGTTTACTACTAAAAGAAATTAAAACCTTAACAAGGGAAATTATACAATGAGATCTATTCTTAAAAAATATTAGAAAAAGAATTTAATGAATGGGAATTGGAATATTCTGTGTGAAATGTTTAGCTATAGTATCTATTATAAGTTCTCGACGCTATGTGTTGACGTTACATTACCGTTTTGTGTGCTCCGCGGGTACAAAACATGTTGATTTTAAAATGAAGTAAATTTCTTTGTGTTCAATCAAATGGAATGAAACTTCACACATCAACAAAACAAATATTTTTACATATTATAATGTGTTTGTTTTAAATTTCCAGTGAGTAATATAACGAAGATGACATCGTCCACGAACTTTTCGAACAACCCTCGTATTTACTTTTATTCTTGAATATTTTCTGCCGATAATCGGCAAAAATATTGCCGATTCGGCGTAAAACAATAATCAATCAATCAATCAATCAAATAGTAAGATATGACTTTTTTAATTGAGATAAAGTTATAATATTGTTATTTTTATAGAAAAATATTTGACTTAGCATCTGGTACATTTAAGCACTCGACTGAGAGCTTGGACAAAGTTTTCTAAATACTGTACCACATATTTTATAGTCCCCTAAGATAAATATGGGTTCCTTTAATTTGTTCCCATGAGGCTTTTCTGTTCAATGCAAGTCTCTGGCTTTACAGTTAGTACAGAAATGGCATTCTTAATTATTCCAGAAATACAAAATGAATCATAGAAAATTGTACAGTTGTTAAAGAACTCTTATTGTGTAAACCTTTTTCATTAAATTCCATTGTTCTGTCATAACAAAACTCGAGAAGATTTGTTATATCCTTATTTGGAATACATAGGTACTGTAGTGTGTTGTTTTCATCATAAGAACAGTTAAGTCGGGCTCCAGCTGTGTACCACTCTGATCGATTTTTGGGACAGGAATCCACTTCATGAACAGGAAAACGGTACTGTGGTATCACCTGTAAGTGTGATATTTGTATTGTTACAAAATATACAATAATTCAAGGAAACATTATTATACAGATCAATTCCGCAGAAACCGGGGGAATCGCCCTCCCCCTTCAATTGTTTTGCAGATATATATAATTCTAAAGAATACATAGATACAATATGCTTGTGATCCCTGATTAATGACGTCTAGTGACTTTTCTAGAGAAGTTTTTTGGAAGTCGATCCCCCCCACTAATATTATGTGGCTGTGACCCCGTCATCCCGCCGAAGTGATAACTGGTTCCTAGGAACCTGTAGATCAAGTGTCAACTTTATCTTGTTTATAAACAATTGTCACAATGGCCTTGAACCTTAATTCCATGATTAATTTTCACTTGCAACGACAAACTCAGTCATACATGGTATTGGTTTTATTTGGACTAAATATTGGAAAAAATAATTAATGAGTATACTATGCTTATAACATGTACATGTATCACATTGCAAAAATTCTATCACTTAAATGTCAAAAATAGAAAATACTGTTTTACATGTTTATGTAATTTTAGGCCAAATTTTAGCGATACAAGGTTTCTGAATTTAATGTGGCAAAGGATCCATAACTCCATTTGGTTTTCACTTCTTTGCTTCACTAATGCTTAACGATGATTCTCAAAGGTACAAAGAATAACTTAAATTAAAAGTAGTGGAGTGTGCCTATATACAATGTGGATTACAATTTTAATTTGCACGGAATGACGTCATCAAAATCTCGACCAATCTAAGCAAAGTATATATTTTTTATGTAGGAGTATATGAAATGGTGTTCCGGGGTCATTAAGTGCAAAATCAAAAAGGCACCTTAAGGTATCTTGTGACATATCAAATGGAAGGTCTTGACGAGTAGCATTCAGCCTGGGGATGTCCCGAGGTCATTGAGTGCAAAATAAAAAAATAAACGAAGGTATCTTGTGGTTCATCAAATAAAAGTTTTTTTTTATCTTATAATGTTTTGCAATACAAATACGAAGGAATGAAATGATGAAACAGTTTTAAATTATGATCGATCTTAGGAGAAAAAAATGGAGAAAATAGATATTACACAAAATGATATAGCTGGAGAACTGTAGCTGCCCGAAAAGAATCAAATATATTGACAAACCGGTCTATCAGTAAATTTTTTGGAGTGTCTGTAAGAAAAAGTAATAAAATACCCCCCCTCCTTTTAAAATAAAATGTAATCTACTGTGTTTACCACAATATTTTATGAAATTGATACCCGTAACGTTCAGTTTTTAACTGTTAAACCAGAGGTCGTAAATTATAAGTACAAACAAAAGTATTCCAACAATAACACAAAATTAAAGCTTTTCCATGTTTTTGAAAGTGCAAAGACATTTGACTCTCGTGTTAGCTAGATTTTTTAGACTTAAAATACTTTCGTTTTGTTATTAAGGAGTCATTCATGAGAAGTCTATTACATGTATACACATACATATGTATACGCAAGAACATAATGCAGAAAAATGTTTGTAACAATCCGGGCATTTTGAATTAAAAATATATTTATTGATGTATTTAATTTGATTTTCTGTTCTTCGAATGAACTTGTGAAAGGGGGAGGGTACACTCTTGCACAAAGAAAGCATGTTTAATTTAAAAAAAAGTCTAAAAAGTAAGTTTAAACTTAATTGATTGTGACAATGCATACATTTAGGATAAGTTATCATGCCTAAAATTGTTATCGCCAGAGAGTACTACAGTACATGTAAATAAGATTTTTGTTACATGTAATAAAAGGGGAAAAATTCTTATTTATGTAATTATCTGGCTGAACACATCTTGTACAAGTTGACTTTTTCTCTCTTAAGTTTAATTCATGGATAAACATATGTACCAAGCATGATGATAAAAAACACTGTGTAGGGTACAACAAAACTGCAAGACAGCAATTACGAATTCTAACAATTATATATTTACTCCTGAAAAAGACCAGAAACGAAAGATGACTGGACAATAAACACATTTTTGTGAAGTCTACTTGATAATGAATTTAATTATTAAAGAAAGAAGATTAAAACAAAATTATTTCTTGTTTCATTAGAAAAAAGAAAGCATATCTTAGAATGAATTAATAAAGATAAATAAATAAGTCATATGTCCCTGTCCTATTGAAAAGCTAGTTCAAGATTGTGTAAATTAATTTAAAATATAACAAAAAAAAATCAAGGAATGAATTCAACTCTCAAAGAAATAAAAAAAAGAATTCATAACTGTTTAAATAATGAATGTAATAAATAAACAATAAATGAGTCAACTCATGAATTAATGAATAAATAATAAATATGTGAATTATTCAATGAATAAATTAGATAAAATAAAATAAAATAAATAAGATACAATAAATAAAGTTAATGTTAAATCCAATAATGGTGGTAATTAATAAAACTAATTAAAATTTAACTATTTAATTATATTATATTTTAATTTTTGTGTTGGAGTGAAATGACCTACGTTGTGGAGAGAAATGACCTGGGTAATGGAGGGAAATGACTCATGAGAGAAATGACTTGGGCGGAAATGACCTAGGCGGTGCAGCTACTGGGGATAAATGACCCGAATTCGCTAAGATTAGCTCTGGAGACCTTCTCACTTCTTGATGGTTTTGTGCTTACATAGGGTTCAAATACATTCGTTTGAAATAGCTCCATTCAGGAGTGGATAGTTTCAAATATACACAATTACTGATCTATATGGTATAGCAACTGCTTGTACATATGCATCAACTAATTTCTTGGCATAACCAGGATACATATGCCTTGCCAAGATTGCAATCTGCTGTCAATCTCTGGGGTTTTAAAACAGAACTATGTACTGTGTGTTCAAATTCATTGTTCAGTTTTGTTTTCTTTGGTTGAAAATGTTCTGCATGGTGCAGATTAAACTGAGGTGACGATGGCGTGCACCTTCGATAAAAAATTCTGTCTTTGTCCTGGGCTGTATCCTTCAACTTGTCGTAAAAAAATTTACAATGTTTTGTCACAAGGGTCAACAATGAATGTATTCCATTTCAAACCCCCTGTGATGCTTTGAGTAAATGTTATACACAAAATCCGACACTTCAATTTATTGTAAAATGGCTGCAATTGCTTATAATTCCATAATATTCTTCCAGGTACAGGGCTAATGACTTGTTCAATGTTAAGCAGCATTTCCTTTATCCAGGTTAATTTTCCTCCCCCTATTGGTCCAGCAACTATGATTGTAAAGGGATGAAGAGACTTAAAATGCTCATCATTCGCCAAAGATCTTTGATGAAGCGGAGGAGGAGGAGGTTGAATACATTGAAGAAGAGGAGGTTGAATTCATTGAAGAGAAGGGGAAGGACGTTGAATACATTGAGGAGGAGTAGGTTGAATACATCGCGGAGGTGGGGGCGGAGGTTGAATAAATTGAGGAGGAAGAGGTTAAATACGTTGGGCAGAAATTCGAATACACTGAGGAGGAGGAGGTTCAATACACTGAGGAGGAGATATTAAATACATTGAAGAGCAAGAGGTTGAATACACTGAGGAGGAGAAAGTTGAATACATGGAGGCGGAGGGGAGGAAGTTGAATACGTTAAAACGAGGAGGAGGAAGAGGTTGAATACGTTGAGGAGGATGGGGGTGAGGTTGAATACACTTAGGAGGAGGAGGTTGAATACATTGAGGAGGAAGAATACGTTAAATACGTTGAGAAGGAAGGAGGTTCAATACATTGAGGAGGAGGAGGAGGAAGAGGTTGAATACATTGAGGTTGAGGAGGTTGAATACATTGAGGAGGAGCGGACGGAGGTTAAATACATTGATTAGGAGGAGTTGTTTGAATAAATTGAAGAAGCAGGTAGGTTAAGGTTACAACCAAATATTATACTTGCCTACATGATATGACGTCATAGTCAGCTATATGTCGTGATATTTAGAGATAACAATTTCTTAAATTCGATAGTAGTAAAACGAACAATGTTGTTTCTTGGTCTATGTATTTATCACAGTGGTTAAATACCAAACCACGTCATGACTGTTGATAAATATAAGCACAGTGAAAGTGAAACGTGGCGAGATTTCATGTAAACAAACACAAGAAATCGGAGATTAAAAGCATATAGAATGAATATCATGTGATTTCTGTGGGAATAAAGCTAAAGAATAAGTTATACTAATATATTTCTACAATTTCTTAGTACAATAAAAGTAGACAGTGTGTTTACTTGAAGATCACGCATTACAGGTAAGGCAACACATGAAAAAATATGGTAATGAGGTCATAATGAGGTCTGACGTCATGACAGTTGTTCCGCCCTAATTGATCCATATAACGATATATAACATTTTTGAAGAAGTTTTCCCATTATATCACAAATATAATATATTTATCTATATGCCCTGAAAAACTGTTTAATCACGCCGGATATAGTTATGTTCACCAGAAACAGTTATGTTGCCCTCCCGAACAACGTTATGTTCCCTCGCGTGCAATCATTCTGCACATTAAATACGTCGGGTTCGAAATTCACAGAGGGAGTTGCTAAGCAAACGTAAACAGTTCTGCTAAAATTAAAAAGTCGGGACAACGTCTGTGATTTGTTTATTTAAATTCAGGGGAATTAGATAATTTAATTGAGGAGAAAAAATCCTTAAATACGACAAAGCTAGGTTATCAACTTGTCAGTATATTGAAAACTTTCTGCCATGAAACAGGACGGGATATTTCGGATTTTACTCAACGTACATGTGTACATAGTGTTCAATAAATATGTTTGATGATCGATTAGGGTTCAATTTTTGAAAAATGTTATATACCATATATTACATAACTTAATTCTCGGGAAGCAATATCAGAACATTTGCCCCTCGGTGACAGGAAAGCCCTGGAGTGTTACATGTATGTCGCCCTCTGCCTTCGGCATCGGGCGACATAACACTCCAGGCCTTTCCTGTCACCTTGGGGCAAATATTCTGGTATGCTGCCCTCGAAGCTA